ATGAATCAGTTAATAGAAGTATGCCCATTTCACTGTATAAGTTGAAATGTTTTCCATGAACAAATAGACCTCTTAAGGATATTAAGGATTTTCTGAAACTGCCCATTAGAAAAAGCTCATGCTAAGATTGTCTGGTCTGGAGGAAAGAAGACAGAAATGGTGTTAGAATCTGTCTACCACTTAACAATTGTGTGAGCACAAGACACCTATTCTAAGACTCAGTTTTCTCATCTATAAAGCTCATATAATATCTTTCTCAATGAGTTATGGTGAAGATTAAATGAATAAAGTGGTAAGAAATAAAAGATGTTTAAATATGAGTTTCCTTCCATGTAATATCTTTTACTTAAATATCTTAGAATAGAGTTCTCTTTTCTCCACATCCTTGCCAGCACTTGTTTGTTGATTTATTAATGACTGCCATTTTGGCAGGTGTGAAATGGCTAATCATTTTGAGCATATTTTTCATACCTCTATGGCCCATCTATATGTCCTCCTTGGACAAGTGTCTATTCAGGTCCTTTGTCCATTTTTTAATTGTATTGTCTCTTTCTGGTGTTGAGTTGTATGAGTTCTTTATGTATTTTGGAGGTTAAACTTTGTCCAATGTATCATCGGCAAATATGTTCTCCCATAGTCAGTTCCCTTTTAATTTTGCTGATGTTTCTGTATCCATGCAGAAGCTTTTTAATTTGATGTAGTCCCGTTTGTTTATTTTTTGTTTCCCTTTCCCTAGCATACACATCAGCAAAAATATTGCTATGTGAGGAGTCTGAAATTTCACTGCCCACGTTTTCCCCTAGGATTTTTATGGTGTCATGCCTTATGTTTGTCTTTTATCCATTTTGAGTTTATTCTGGTGTATGGTGTGAGTTGGTGGTCTAGTATCACATTTTTGCATGTTATCAGCACCTGTGGAAAGCAGTACAGAATTCCCTCAAAAAATTAAAAATGCAACTACCTTTTGACCCAGTAATTCCACTGCTAGGAATATATCCTAAGAATCCCCAAACACCAGTTCAAAAGAACTTATGTACCCCTATGTTCATTGCAGCATTATTTACAATAGCCAAGTGTTGGAAACAGTCTAAGTGCCCATCAGTAGATGAGTGGATCCAAAAACTGTGTTTCATTTACACAGTGGAATACTACACAATAGGAAAAAACAGAAGGAATTCCTACCTCTTGTGACAGCATGGTTAGAACTGGAGATTATCATGGTAAGTGAAATAAGCCAGCCAGCGAAAGACAAATACCATATGACCTCACTTATAAGAGGAATCTAATGAACAAAATAAACTAATGAGCAAAATACAGCCAGAGACATAGAATCATGGAACAGGCTGACAGCTGTAAGAGGAGAGAAGGGAGGTGGAGGCTGTTTGAAAGAAGATGAAGGCATTAGTCAAGGAACACATGTGAAGGACCTATGGACATGGACAATGGTGTAGGGATTGACTATGGAAGTGGGGGCAGGTTGTCAGGAGGGGGACAAAGGGGAAAATACGTTGAACTGTAACAGCATAAACAGTAAAACATTTTGAAAAATATCTCAGAATAAGTAGATAAGAAGATACATATCTATTTGGTCAATACATTGTACTAAATAAAAATTAAAGCTATTATTGGACCACCAGCCTTTCTAGAATATATACACATCATGTTCAAATATTACTTTAGGTGTGATCTACTATGTGACTATGTCCCACTTATTAGATTTATTGTAAGGTCTTTGAAAATGAGTTCTTCAAAATGTATATTTTTCCTGAGGTATTTTATTTACTATAAAACATATTTATCTACTTACATCTTCAATATATTTAATTAGGTTAACTGTTGTACTGTTATCACTGCAATTGCACCCACGAGTTAAGGACAACCACTCTCTAAGAAAACTTTGAACGTAACTATTTTAGAAACTTTTCAGTGCATGTCTGTCCCAGTAAAATACAGTAAGAAAAATGTTCAATTAGAAAAATGTATACTAACTCATCTAGAGGCCAGGTTGACCAACATGGAGAAGAAGCATGTACTTATACTTTGATCTCTACTCATTCTTTAGATAAAATATTTGCTCCCTTTTGGACTTGAAAATGTAAACAAGTTTCCATATAAGGAAAAAAGTCATTTAGCTTTCTAGTATGACTGAATGTAGCCCGGCCAGACTAGTTTGTGATAGATGTAGGTGATGTCACAGGTTCTTCTAACATTTCAACTCTATTCTTGAATTGCTATTGTGTCAAACAAATATGTTCTGGTAGCAAAGATTTCTCTGAAAGGCAGATCAAATGATAAAAAGAGGCATTATTTAAAAAGAAGGAAGAGGAAGGGGCAAGCAAAGGAACATGAATAGAGGACTCGTGGGCATGGACAATTGGGGAGACTGATTGTGGGAGTGTGGGGGGACAGGGTACAGGTGAGCAGTGGGGGAAAACTCTAACTGAACAACAATAAAAAAAGCAATGTTTAACTGAAATAATAAAGGGTTTCAAGTAAGCATCATTTGGGAAAAAGGTAAAACTCAGCCATCTTTAGTCTTGGCTGAAAGGAATCTCAGACTAAATTTATTTCTCAATCTCAATAAACACATTAAGCTGGCTAATTTGTATACCTACTCCCATGTTTTAAAGTTTTTAATTACTCTGTTCTATATTTTTAAAATTTTAGTTATTATATCAATAATAATATTAATGCAAACATGACTTTGATGCTCAGAATTTGGGGAAAAAATATACATTGATTGATCAGTCAACAGATACAACTGGGTATCAATATAATCTTGGTAAACAAACCAAATGAGAATATGAAGTTATTTTTTAAAACTTCACTTAAAAGAAATTATCTATAAAGATACATTAAACTGCTTACAATGAGGACTTACAAGAATTCAGGGAGTGGGGTAGGAAGAGAGGACCTGGACAATTTAAAACTCTGTGCTTTCTTTGTTAAAACAGAACTCTAGGCTTATAATTCAAACCTAAAGTTTTTAAAAATTAAATAGTCATCATCTTTTAACGCTCATCAGTGCAAACAACACATGAATTAAGGAGCTATGAAGCAAAATTCTCATTGACCTTAATATGGCAGGTAACAAATCCATAGATTATTTGATATTAAGTGCCTAATAATTGAATAATTTTCCACCACAAATGTCTTTGCCCATTTCTTTCTTGTTCTCTGTACTCCACAATTTTTGTATAAGTCTCTTCTTTCCTCCTACTCTTTATTCAAATACCATTCTCTTGTTCATAAACCATCCCCTAAGAAAATAGCAGCCCACAGGTGACTCACAGGTAGCCCACAAATGTATTTTTATTGGCCTAGGATTAATTTACAGTATTTAAAAACATGGAGACTGAACACCCAACTCCAGATTCCCAGCTTCCCTTGAAAGATCAAAAGATGTGAAGGCATGGCGCCCTCATTCCTGGAGGGCAGGTGGGACTGCAGGCAGCCACCTCTCAGCCTGCTGCCTGCTCTCCAGCTCCCGGCTCTGACCACTCGGCTGCCTCCCCAGCAGCCCTTCCAGGGCCTCGCTCTGTTTAGCACTCCTCCGCATTACTCTGTCTTATGGTAAATAGGAAACTTAAATACATCCTATCTTTCTTTAAAAAACAAAAACAAAAACAAAAAAGGGGGGTCTGTAAGAGGAATACCAAGCGAGTTCAGATGTTTCAAGAAAAAAAAAGATGGGACTAGGCATATTTCTTTATGGAAATGAATACAGCTAGCGTTCCTGTGTTTGGTGGGCAAACGAGGGATGCCCATGGTGAAAGATCTGAATAACCACAATAAGAAGACTGCATGGAATAGCAATGAACATGGGGGAAAATGTGAGGAATTTGTTTTTGAAGTGGAAACACACTTAAATGTGATACTTCTGTGACTGTTTTCCTATGACCAATCTACTTCACTCATTTGTGTCCGTAATTGACCCTGTAGCTACCTGGGTTTGTCCTACCGTTTAGAAACGCACCCTGTCGCAGACAGATACCCACCTCACCGTCTACCTCTAGCCTACTTCTATGCCCTTGGGCAGTAAACAGCAAGGGCTGTTGAGCCCACCAGATTCTCCTCCACTTGCCTCCTCTTCCTGCTCTGAACAGCACTCTGCAAAGATAAGGGAGGCAGCTGTAAAGATTCCTATTAACTCTGCAACTTCATGCTCCTTCCTCCTACACAGGCCCTCTCTCTCTAACCCCACAGTCTGGCAAAATGCCCATATTAATTGCTGAGACCTTCCTTTGTTAATATGGTTCATTTTACAAGGTCACAGGCCCTCAGTTACAGTTGCAAACTCTCAGGGCAGATCTCCAACCCCAGTTCAACTCCTGTGGGAGAGAGCGAATGACTTGTTCAAGACAGCAGCCAAGCCTAACAGAGGCATCTACAGTCTGTACAAAAGTCATGAGCAAATCAGTAGCTAAAGTGTGATGCCGAAAGTTCTCAACTTCCCAATTTTAAGGGAAAGAAAAGGAGCTTCTAATCAACTATATCTGAGTCACAGCTGCATCCCAGGACCAATAAATTTGGGGCATAGATCAGTAAAACATGTTGAACAGAGAATGTGGCTCTACACATTCTGAACTACCAGCAGGAATCTACTTTAACTGCCTTTAGTTAGGTTCAGCTTCTAGTAATAGACTACTAACTACCTTGTCTTCCAGTCCACAAAATGCTGCCACGTGATTTGACTCAACTAGGAAAGTTGTAAGGTAGGGAGGGTTGGTTTTATACTATGATCTCCCATTTACAGAAGAGAAAATAGAACTCAGGGAGCTTAATATGATTCTTCAAGGTCAAAGAAAGAGTACCGGGCCTCATGTTCACTACAATTTTACCCAAGCCACTATAAACGAGAGGTAACACTAAAAATGATGAGTCATCATGAGACTGTAGCCATTTATAGAGAAAAAAAAACACATTATCCAAAACAGATTGTCTGTAAAAAAGAAGGGGGGATTATAAATCATTAAAGAACACAATTCAGGAAAAAGAAATGAAGATTTTAAAAATATATTTATATAGAAATATTTCACAAAGATTTTACAATGTAGCAAATCATCATGTCATACCATAGAAGAAGAAAAAGATTAAACATCAAAGGATTAAGAAAGTGCTCAGAGCAACATATTGCCGTCTCCATGAAAGTGCATAAACAGTTAAGGCAAAGTATCATGTTGGTACTGGCATGTTGCAAAAGGACTTGTAAAACAGTTTATAAAAATATATACAAAAGTCTTTTTTTTCCCCTATATTCTTTTCAGAGACATTGAAAAGGAAAACATTTATGAACAGTCTTGCTCCACAACTAGGTAAAAATAACTCCTGGTTACAAAACAGTAAAAGTAAAAATGCTCTACCCCAGAGTGTTCCTAATAAACCAAGTGATTGGCAAAACAAAACCTTTCCAAGTGTGGGCTCTTTCTACATTTAACCTGCCAAGTGGAAAGCTGACTCCCTCGTATTCCAGGATAGAGATCATTAATGAGAGCGGCGGGAGTTACATTCAGATCTTTGCCCTTCTGTGCAACTTTTAGCTTCTAGTTTCTATGGCCAAACTATTGGCATATTTGAAGTTATTATGCGTTCACTGTGTTATAAACCTACCTTACAGCTTTGCTTCTACCTGCAGCTTGCCTGATAGCCATTTTACAAAGTGCTGCATATACTAATACAATATTTTGCCTTACCTGATAATAAAAACATCAAGGTGCTCTCTAAAGTTAAATCCCAACCCTGTTAGAGAATTCTAGAGAAATATTTTGTTTTCCCACATATATGTAAATTCCTTAAGATTGATAGGATCAATAAGGAAGGATAACCCGGGTTATCAAACCTTAATCTTCATGCTTGGGGCAGAAGTTGTTTTTATAACATAACAGAATAAAATATCAAAGAAAAGTAAATTAGCTAGACTTGAACAAGAGTGAGTTTTGGGGAAAACTGACATATCTGAATTCTAGTGCAGATGATAAATATCTGCCAGAGAATAACTTAATTCACGTGCCTGACCACTCTTTTACATAAAATTTTATCTACTCATGAAAAATAGGGAAAAATAGTGTTGCCATTTTAGTTTAAACTTTTTAAACTTTTGTCTTTTCCTATTTTTTATCCTTAAATATAAGGGAAATTAACTAGTTCATTCAGCTGACATAAGCTTCCTAAATAGCTTTTAGCCCTCAAGATACAGTCGTGGTAAAACCAGAGAGAGACACCTAGCCATTTACTGGAATTCTGAACTACAAAATAAGCACACGTGCTCTATATGATCTAGTAACAGGGATAAAAAGAGTTAAACTGCCTTACACAACAGATGTACTAGCTTGATTTTCATTTGTAACTTCTCTTTCATCAGAACCACAGACAAAAAGCTTGCTGCCCAGAGTTTTCTGAGCAAATCGGAAATACATGATGTGGCCCATTGCCACAAAGGAGACTGAAATCAACACAAGCAAGCCGAAAGCTTCAGGATTCGGAGCCAGGATGACCATGATGAAATGCAGAAGATCAAGAAGATAGTTCATGGAGTTCTGTACACCATTTATAATGCCTCGTTCAGATTCGATTACATTTTCTTGCAGCAACTGTGTCACAGTTAAATCAAAGGACCAAAGACCTATAATAAAACATATTTTTTTAGATATTTACTCTCTAAAATTTATAGCCATATATTTCAGATTTATAGGTTAAATATCTGTTGACATGTGAAAAATACACATTTTACCCCTATTACTTTAAAGTCACCATATATATATTTCTTACAACTTTTCCTCAGAGACTTATTTTTCATTAATAAATACTGAGTTATTAGTGGCTCTAAGAAATGATTTTTACAGCCATCAGACAAAAATAAATCTGATCAACAAACTTCTTAATTCTGTTTTTCTGTGATTATTCATGTTATGAAAATAAAACTCTGAAATCAGAGACATAATCATGCTGAATAATGACGTTATGGTCAATGACAGCATATACAATGATGGTCCCATAAGATTATAATAGAGCTGAAAAATTCCTCTTGCCTAGTGACATCATAGCCATGGTAACATGGCAGCGCAATGTATTATGTGTTTGCGGTGATGCCGGTGTGAACAAACCTACTGCATTGACAGATGTATAAAGTATAGCACATGCAATTATGTTCAGTGCATATTATACCTGATAATGATAATGAATAACTATATTACTGGTTTATGCATGACCTATACTATACTTTTTGTCCTTATTTTAGAGTATATTCTTTCTACTTATAAAAAAAAGTTTTCTGTGAAACAGTGTGTCATTCTATGCTGGCCACAGCCTCATATATCCCCTGCTACTGCATCTCTTGATTGAATTATTTTCTTTTGTGCTTGATTTAATCTTGTGTTGTTTTGCGCAGTAACATGCTGCACAGAATCATAGCCTGGGAACAATAGTCTGTGCCATGTGGGGTTGTGTAAGTGCACTCTATCATAATCACACAATCAAATCACCTAACGACACATTTCTCAGAGTGTAACCCCCTCATTAAGCAGCCCATAATTGTACTATTTTTCAAGTTTAAAATAAACAGACCTATATATTGTTATGGTTAAAGTGTAAAGAAACTTCAAACCATTATTACATTTACTGCTTGGGTTCTAAAGCTGCTACAATAAAGCTGTCTTACTTGAATATTAATGTCTTTGATAAATTAATAAAGTGCTTTGTATCACAAGATAAAATATGATTTAATTTCAAGAGTGAATTTGGGAGGAGATAATTCATCAGCACTCTGTTAATGATTACTTAAATGTTGCTTTGTAAGAAGTCTACACTATGTTTCCTTCCACAGCTATAAAATCCATTTGACCAAGTATATAACACACATCAGCTAGAGAGGGCCTTAAAGAGATTTTTTTCCTAACTACATGTCTTAAAAAAAATTAAACAAAAAGAAACCTATCTTTTTTGCCTTGTATCATAGAAATATTCTCTAAATTATAGTCCTATTGGTAAAGTTACAGCAATAAAAAGACTCTGAATTATTAAATGACAATATAATTGTAATAGCTAATATCTTTTTAGAAATTAATTAAATAACATTAAAAAGATAAATACTTAAGATATCCATTTAGAACAAATTTTTAAGCTCTAATGTTTTATAAAAGTATATGTACATATATACATATAAACAAATATAAGTTTTTAAACTATAAAATAAAAATTTCATAGTAAAAGTCTGGATTATACATAAGGATGCATACATAATGAATTTTGCTTAAATTAACATTTGGAGAATATTGTTGAATTCTCTGAACCCATATTGCAAAAAAACACTTTAGTTCATTAATATACAAAAGGAAGTATCTTACCGATTCTAGCAGCAATGACGCCTGCAAACAGCAGACTGACAGAGATTATGGACTCAGAGTTAAAACTCATCTCTGGGGCAACATCAGCAGAAACAGACCCATTTGACATGTGCGTTTCAGTTGTAGAGATGAATTCAGGACTTTCTGTAGGTGTATTTGTGGGTAGTGGCTCTACTTGAATGAACCTAGACTGGATATCTTTAAAAGGAGAAACAGACAAGTCTAAAGGGCTTCCAGGCATGAACACAGAGATCACACACAAGATCAGACAGGAAAGCTGTGCAAATCCTGAGATCAGACCAGTCCGAACCAGGCCACATTTTCGCCGTAGCCAAGTAAAAGCCACGGTTCCCATTATTCCAGTTATGGCTGATGCTCCCATCAAAATACTGAGGATGGACCCACTCAGCCCCTGAGTGTAGGCGTACCCTGTAGTGATGCAATCAAAGCCCAGGACAGTCATATAGAGGAAAGCAAGACCCATGCCCGCCAGAAACACCGGCTGATTGTAATAGGAAACCCATCCATCTCGGAACGTGCGGAAGGGCTCAGCCATCTGGGAGGCACAGCTGGGCTCTTGCTCATGTTCAAGCTCACGGACGTTAGGGTCTTTGTCACCCATTAGATGAGTTGCCTCCATGGATTTTGGCTCAGTTTCTGTTAATAAAATACATCATTATTTAGGGGTGAGTGAGGGCATGGGGAAAAAAGCCGATTATTTTACTCAATACTTTTCTTCTCTTTCCCTCCCCCATGAGTCCCTTGGCTACAACAATATAACATGTATTTTCTTCAATAATCTAAGAATTACAGCTAAGGAACAATCTCCAAGCAGCAATTACACCGAATAAACAAAATACTATTGATCTCAATTACTCATATACTCTCTTTGAAATTATACTCCCACCAAAGTAAAAGTCACCAGATAAAAATACAATCATTTTCTGGGAAAATAAAGCATCTTATTTTCTGGGGGCCTGTCAAGATTCCATTTGTCCAGAAGTCCATCTGCCTCTTCTTGGGAAATATCCACCTTCACATCCTCACTTCTTCTTTTCACTATCTTACAAATTGAATACAAATGGCATGTAACTCCCTTCTTCATGGACTCCTAGGAATTCTGTTGTTCTCATTTTTCTTCCTATTCCTATGGTTCAACTTTACCCAGTTTTTCCTCAATTAATCACCCCTCTGTGTCTACTGCTCACATTAAGGAAAAGGGCCAGAGGTCTCATTCTAACCCCTTCCCCAGAGTCCTTCTTCAGGCCATCCAAACTTGGGTTTTGACTCAGCTACTGAAGTGACATACTTAGCCTCATGCAGACTTTCAATGGTAATAAAATCTGATGCAAATTCAACTTTGTTTGGTGTTCACCAACATTTAAGGTCTGGACATCAGAATAAAAGAGTTGATCATTATGTTAAATTTACCTTTGTGTAAATTCAGCTGTTTCAACTCAGCTTCCTCTACTTTAAGAGTAGCTTTCACAGCTAAGGCAGGGGTTTTCTGGTAAACCTTCCAGAGCAGAAAGTACTCCACGCACATGGACACCAAATTCCACCCAGAAATGAAACCACAGCCAATGACTGCAGAGCCAAATGTCATAATCTGGCCAACAGCCATGGGGGCCAAGATGTTGGTTAACTGGTCGATCCTTCTGATTGTAGCGTTCATATCTACAGAGGTAGGTGAGAGATGTAGATAAGTGTGTAAATCTATCAGAGAGCCTGCCTGCTTACACAATACAAATTTAGAAACCAAGTGCATAAATTCCTTAAATGTAAATTTCTAAAGGCACTCTATGAGCAAACCATAACCATTTTCTTAGAAAATTATTTGTTGTTTGGATCAAGTCATATTCAATTTGCCTGAAAAATCATGATTCCCTTAGAATTCTATAAATTGGTTTAATATCAGACTTAAACTGAATACAATTGTGAATCTACATTCATTTTTTTCAACAAATATTTATAAAATGACTATTATGAGCTGGGCACCATTTAGCACTATAAAGAAAATGAAGAGTATCCCTTTCCCTGCTTCATGCAGTTTACATTCCCATGGGGAAAGGAAGACAATAAATTAGCCAGCATATACAGACACCATCTGTCAGGTAGTCATTAAGTATTGTGGTGAAAAACAAAGCAGAGAGTGCTCAGGAAAAAGGGGACATTTCAGTTTTAAACATGGAAAGGTCAGGGAAGGACTCAGGGGAAAAAAGAGAGTGTCACAGCAAAGGCATGAAGTGGTAGGAAGCAAAAGAGTGAGTCATGTAAATATCAGTGAAAAAAGAATCCCAAAGCAAGGTAAGTACAAAAGTCCTGGGGTAAGAGGAGCACACCCAGAGTGTTAGAAACAGCAAGGAGGCCAGTAGGACTGGGGCAGAGAGGAAGGGCAGACTGGCCCAGTCAGGTAAGGCCTTGTGACATGATAGGGACATACGTTGTATACTGAATGACTCAGGAAATGACTGGAAGTTTATGTTCAGAGAGATGCCACAGTCTGACATATTTTTGAAGGTTTATTTTGGCTGCTGTGTTGAGAAAAGACTGTAGAATGAGAATGAGAGGGACAGCAGACAAAAATAGAGGCAATGGGACAAATGGGAGATGGTGGTAGCATGGGCCAGGATAGAACAATAGAAATGGGCAAATGGGAGATGGTGGTAGCATGGGCCAGGATAGAACAATAGAACTGGTTATACTTTAAAGGTAAAATGTGGAAGACTTGCAAACAGATTAAATATGGTGTATGACAGAAAGAAAGGGACAAGGAATGGCTCTAAATCGTTTTTCCTGAGCAGCTACTGGAAGCATAGAGTTGCCACTTAGTGAGAAAGGGAGAAGACTTCAGAAGAATCAGGATTGAGGCAAAAGAACAAACATTTGGTTCTGGAGATCTCGACTCTGATAGGTCCACTGACATTCAAGAGGCCACATCAGACAGTTAAATATCTGAATCTGGATTTTAGGGAAGAAGTATACACCACATCTGAGAGTCCTCAGCTGGTTGATTTTTAATGTAATGAATCTAGATAAGATCTCCAAGGGAACAAGTGTAGATCAAGAAAAGAAAAGTAATGAAAACTAAGTCCTGGCCATGCCAATATTCAGAGGTCTGGAAGATGAGGAGGAACCAGCCAAAGAGAAGAAAAACCAGTAGAGCATGGTGTCCTAAAAGTTAAGAGGTAACAGTGTTTCAAAGATAAGGGAGTAAGCAACTAGAAAGTGCTGTTACTAAATTAAGAAAATGACCACCAAGAAGAAGCTCTAGACTGGTTGTATTGGGGACTTGGAAAAGAGCAGTTCTGGTAGAGAGGAAAGGAAAGGACAAGTGCTTGATTGAAGGTGATTTAAGAGACTAATGCCAACTCCATGGAACACCATATATGTTATATTTTAAGTGAGTAGTGTGGCCTGGATTCACAATGTGATGTTGCTCCCCTGGCATTATGGACCAAGGCCCTGACCAAGAAAAGGAACCACAAAGAGTGAGCACAAACATTTCTTTTCATTAAGTTTCACTGACAAGAACAAAGACATGGGGTAGTAGAGGGGTAATGACAGGGATACTGAAGAAGAGAAAAATTACAGCATGTGTGCTGGGTATAATGGGAATGATACAGCAGATGAGGAGGTACAGAATATAAATGTATGGCACAAGCAGAAAAGTGGTTCTTAGGAGCACAAACAATCCACCAACATCAACAAGAGGACAGGCCACATACACGGCTCCAAGTACAAGTAGAAAGAGTGATGTGGTATTTGGAGCACATGGCAGTCCCCTTCTCATTTCTCTCATTTCCCAATAAAATACAGAGCAAGATCATCAGTGAAAGTGAGGACAGGAGAGGAGGTACTGAATGTATGCAGACAAAGGAAAAGGTATGAAACAGTCCTTTAGAAAAGAAGGAGAAGGAAAGGAACAGAGAAAATAATGTTATCTTCTGGCAGCATGGAAGGCCAACTTGAATCCAATAGTCATGAATTTTAAGTAAGAACAGCGAGCAAGCTGTGTGTTTTTCTCCAGCCACTTTCTGCTGTGGAGAGGTGGGTTTAACCAGGGTCTTATAAAAGTAAAGCAACAAAAGGAGAAAAGGCCAAATGAGCTGACAATCATGTGGTCAGGACAACTGACCTTGAAATTTAAGCTGGGTAAGCAAGGGAGACAAGAGGACTCATAAACAGTGAAAAGGTATTAGAATTAATGACTTGTAGGTAACAACCAGGTTGGAGGATTTCGGGGGCTGGGGCACCAGGAGGAATGAGCTGGAAAAACATGAGGTGGTAGTTCAAGACATGGATGCTTAGGATTGAGATTATGGAAGGAGAGGATTTAGTGGTGATGACAAGATCTAGGGTATAAGCATAGAAATATATAGCTGAGTCACAGTGGAGGACAAGATGAATAAAGGAGACAGAGTCAAGAAAATGACCCACTGTCTTACTCTCTATCTCATAAAGTAAAAATTAATGAGATAAGTCCTATCAATCCTGCAGGGCACCTTAAGGAGAAAGCAATACGTGACTAAAAGTACATTAACAGAAAATTGCCTTTATTCTTTCTCTAGTTCTTCCTGGTCCTAAATTACCTTCCAATTAGTCCTGTGAGTACATAATACTTACATGATAACAGAAGACCTTTGACACTCTTCACCTTTCAATTGAGAGGCAAAGGCAGTTACTGAACTTGTACATGATCATTTTTTCATGAACATTGTTCACTAACTTCCATCTGCCTACCACCAATACATTTCCAACTCATATGCTAACAGGAAAATGTAGAATTGATTCAAATAACTCAATAATTTGAATCCAAAAATCAAATACTAATGAAAATATACACCTGAATCTGAAAACCCCAGAACAACAACAAAATTAATTTAGTTACAACGATTTGTTACTCCTTTATTATCTTAATTTTCAAGTGCTCACGAAGCTTCTTAATGCCACCAATTTCTATCTTTTACATTATTCTTAGGACTTTAATAATGCTCATGTGTAATTTAGTGTCAGAAGACAGCTTTCATTTTCCTGAAACAGAATGGATTAAATGATAAATTTTTAAAAGACCTAATCATTTCAATGGTAACAGCTAGAGAAGAATCAGTCCTCTGAATGTGCAAACATATTTTTTACAAATTCTATGCAAACAGACAAATGTGTGCTCATTTAAAACCAATTTAATTGTTTTCAGCAGCTGTGATACAGAACATGACATTAAATAACTACTTGCTATTATAAATGGTGTATTACACCTCACAGAATAATAATTTAAAATAGCAGATTTGCTGAGCAAATAGCAGTCAGTGGGTTTGTACACTTCAAATATGAAATCAATTTTTAATCAATAGAGTTCAAACAAGAAATTTATCTGCCATACATGATCAAGCTAACCAGCAGATGTTTCTTTAGAATGGTGGACAAGATAAACCTCAGAGGCTATTAATGAAGAGTGATTAACAAAGGAAATAGGAAAGGAAATAAAACAACAGATGGAGCAAAACGTCTGGGAAAAGGAAATGAGTTTAAACAGGTTTGACAGGCTAAGGGTCATGCACCAGAGAATGTTTCAATAAACACTGAATCAAGTGCCTAGACAAATTAGTTAACAGACTAATTAACGGTATTTATGTGAAAAACAGTGACCATTTCTGGAGCTGTCTAAACTAGATGGTAACAGCTACATGTTAGCCCAATGCCCCTGAAATTCTAAGACTTTGTAACCTCCCACAGACATTTTCTCCTGTCTTTTACCTGCAGTGATACAAGTTCCAACTTTAAAACCTCCTCCAAAATACGGGAATGGGAGCAATTAGCATCCAGCTCACCTTCTTCTTCACATGCACATCCTTTCCTCTTCACCCCCTCACACATACACACACTGCTCACACAGAGCACCCACAATGCACACCAGCTCCGGCATCACCCCCCTGCTCAGGTTTCTAAGTCTTTGCTGGCAACCTCAGAAAGCATCCCGAATCGTGCAAATCATTCCTGCCTGGAGTAGGTGCCTCTGTGTACAGAGACACCTAAGAGGTACGTGGAATCCCCTCTGTGTGTACTTGTTCCTTTTCTCTTGTGTGTTTCCTTCATCCTGCTTCTTTTTTGCTGTTCTTTAACTCTGCCTCAAAGCAAAAATGGCACAAAAATCCATGGTTAGACCCTTGCTGACTCAGAGCTAAAGAAGTTTTTATATCCTGTTTTGAAACATGGTTTCCAATAAACACAAGTACTGGGGTTAAAACTGTGAGAAAGACAACAGGCAGGTTTTCCCTTCCCCAGGCTACTGACTGCTGGCTGAATGAGCACCACTTACTGAAAGCTAACTCACAGTAGACAAGAGTTCAACAGGCAGCTGTTTTGCTTCCTTAAACTCCAGAAATTCCAGGAGTTAGAAAATAGACTAGTTGGCCTAGATTCCTCCATTCTGCAGTAATTCCTAATATAGAGAAAGGTAGCTGAAAAATGGCCAGTCGTGTCTTTGTTGTTATTCTGAGACATAACTGCATAGTCAGAAATATCCCACTTTTATATTATTTTATATTATTTGTTTTGTTTTGTTCTACTTATTTATTTATATACTTAGGGGAAAAATAAAGATTCTCAGTAACTCAGTTTTTATTTGGGACCTTTTTTTTACAGATTATTCAGATTTCACAGAGTCAAATTGAGTTAAGAAATTCAGATGAGGGAAGGAAAATCATTTTAAAAGGGAACTTTTTCACCAAAATATAGTCCAACAGATATATATGTGGTCAATTCTCAAAGGGCTTTTTATGCCCTTTGAATTCTAAAACATGCACATGTACTACATACCTAAATTGGTATGTTAAAAAGAGAGAGTAAACAAACAAAAAGAAACACAAAAAAGGACAAAATCTCATAGTTCAATGTGACAAAAAGAGATATGGGATTATTCCCATTAGTAAATGATCACAGGAAGGAAAATCCATGAGAGTTGCCACTGTAGCTCCAGAAAGATTTCATGCAGTACAGACTCATATATGCTAAATGCATCCTCTGCACACACCATCGCCTAGAATCTTGGTGGTGACCCCACCTGCATGTCACTCTGCTGCCACAAAGTGATGATCCACGCAAATTCTTTTTCTTCTAGACTAGACCTTCCATAGATTTTTGTCCCTCCTCTTGCCATCTGCTTTTTTTTTTTTCTAAAAAACCACATGGTCCAGTCAAAGTAATTTGCTAAGCTCAGCACCTAATCTTGCCTTATGCGTCCTAGAATAAGCTAGTTAAATCATTAGAAATGCTTTTCTTGTCTGTCAGGATAGTTGGGCAACGTGCTCGTGATCCCCATTATCTCAATGATCAGCAAAGTTGATTCAACTGATCTGATCAGTAGACAGGTGTAGCCTTCCTTCTCGGTCTTGTGTAATCATCAATCCAATTGATGTCTCTGGACTGAATGATGGGCAAGTAGGGAATATTGAATGAGACAGGTTATTCTGAGCTCAAGTGATACTGATGTAATAGGACATGATGCTTTGAAAGTATTCTTCAGTCTCTTTGGCCTCTTGTGTATGTTTTCCAATGAACAACTAAGATTGTAAGCGTCTTAAAAACTGTATTCTGTCCTCTATTTCTTTAGTATTTATAACAGCAATTATATTACATCATAAATAATGTAATAAAAAGTTACATATTATACCTTTAAAGTAAAAGGAATTAACTTAAAGAAAAATAATATCCATAGTATGCTTTATAAGTACTGTTAACAATATCCACAGTATAACCAATAAAATCCTATGTGAAAATTTCAATGTTTTAAGTATTAAGTAAACATTTAGAAACAGTTAACAGAATTTTTAAACAGCTCAACAGATATGTTCTTCCATTTGTCAGGTTTGCATAGAATAAAAGAAAGTTCACTATCTTATAAATTAACTTCATAGCATTGAGGTAAATCTTTGCACCAAGACTGATAATGTGGTAAGTAAAAGACTGTGCTTTCAATTTATTGTCCTTAAAAAGTACTCAGAATAAAAGGCTTGTAGTCTCACTTATTACTGATTAAAAGTGAATCATAACATAACCCATTTAGCTGAAAGAGAAAATCAAATCACCTGCTAATTTGCTTCTGTCTTCTCCGGCAACAACAACAATCCAATCCCTTTGGATGGTGATTGCTGTGGCAGTACTGGCCAAATTTGCAATGTTTGCAATAGTGATGATCAAGATATAGCAGGAAGTCTAAGGAATCATGGGGGAAAGTTGAGTTAAAACATCAGGTTTACCACACTGAGCCTACACTTCAATTCAATATGCAATGCACTTTTTAAAAAAAGACTTTATTTTATTTATTTTTAGAGAGGGAAGGGAGGGAGAAAGAGAGAGAGGGAGAAACATCAATGTGTGGTTGCTGGGGGTCATGGCCTGCAACCCAGGCATGTGGCCTGACTGGGAATCGATCCTGCAGCACTTTGGTTCGCAGCCCACACTCAATCCACTGAGCTACGCCAGCCAGGGCTGCAATGCACTTTTAAATGGTCTTTGGTGGCATAATAATCAAACTTTGATTTTAGTTTCATTTATAACCAATCATTTTACTTTGTACGTATGAAACAATAAACCCTACTGGTCAAGTTAAAGAACAGAATATCTTCCTAATCCATATCATCTGTACTAAATATAATATAAAAATCATAATAGTCCTATGCATATTTATGTGACAATTGTTACGAAGTGTTAAATAGGAGTAGCTTTTAATGTTTCCCCCACAGGTATCTCCTTTGGAAAAAAACTGAAGGGAAAGCGAGACGACCTGTATTTAAGTGAGAGTTCTGATACTTTCAGCTAACATTATTTTGTCTTATTTTTTTTCAACAACAAAAGGAAGAAAAGACACTAGAAGATTTCTACTGCCATACCTGACTTTGAAATTCCACAATATCAATCCAAATATGCATAAAAACATTCAATGGTGACATCAAACCCATTACTTTCTACCATATCCCCATCTTTCTCTTTTCCATAAAGCTATCATAAAATCACAGGGTAAGAAACCATTTAGTCCATGTCCCCCCCCCCAAAATACCAATTTTTATTGGAAGAACACAATTATGACTGATTTATGTATCTAAAACATTTCTTATGTAGTATGAACAAATTATAGTTTAATACTAATGAGCTGAAAACTAACAACTAAATTATATAATAAACTCTTAGAAATGCTATTGAAAATAAATCAGAAAAAAATGCAAAAGGACAAAATTTAAATTCAAAGAACACTTAACAAGTACCTGTTATGGGGAAAAAACATTCCAGGGATATTAACAAAGGGATATAGACACAGAGATCAATATTAAGCGGTCCCATTTGAAGAAAAAAAGATACTCCCTAGCCTCAAAGGGTTTTCATCTTTTACCACTACCAGAAGTTCAACTTTATGCCATCGAGAGTCACATTGAGAGCTTACCAGAACCCATCCATGGTACATAGTCAGAAGCTCGTCTTTATACAAGAAAACCATCATCAGGATAATTCCACACAGGATGACCGACACATTCTGTATCACCAGCGAAGTCTGGGCCACTGTGCAGAGGGAGAGACAAAGTGCTCACTACGCACTACACCAAAGTGTCTCGGTGGGGCTGTTTTATCCATACATCACTGTCCTATTACTTTAATGCATATGCAAGTTACTCCAGAAAAAAAAATAAAACATTCCTGAAGTAAATCTGGCCTCAAATATTCCCAGGGCAACCCACCAGATCATACATACACCACTGCTAAAACTTGTAGACAAAATGAAGAAGTACCCATCACTTTTCTTCGTTAGTAGAAGCCATTCATTATGACCACATTTTTATTTACTTTATCCTCATGAAACTTTGCTATTATAAACAAACTGTGCTACATAGACAAGATCCACCTCTCAGCTTTTTGCTACTTAAGCTAAAATAAGAACATGTGGGAAGTGGTAAAGGAGGTTAAGGAAGAGGTCATGGACTCCATAACCTCCTACACAGCAGGCTACATCTGATAAGATAGTATGGATAAAAAGAAAAGACATGTAAAAATTTCTCAGGAATACAGCAGCAGTGTGTTTCTTTTGGCATACAAATGCTGTTTGTCATTGCTGACATTCTAATCTATACTTTTCCTCACAGATAATTCCTACTTTCTTAGAGTGAAACACCCATATAGATAAAGTGCTAGAGTAAGGACAGGGAAATATACAGGTAAAGACACCTTGTAGTCTTTGTTCTGCCCTTGACTAAGGGAGAAGATCTAGAACAGGATACCTAATGTCTCTTATGCCTGCGTCTACAAGGTGAGGATGCCAGGACACACCTGCCTTCCTTACTTGACAGAGTCATTATGATGCTCAAATAAAATACTTATTAAAGCACTTTGGAAAACATAAAGAGTTGTGTATGTGAGGTATAATTATAGCTCTTGTCTTTAAGGACAGTGAAGCTCACTCTGGCTTGGAAGGTCATATCAAAGCCTCAGGAAAAAAACAAACTGCTTTTTGAAATTAGTTTGAAATAAAATCCCAATGTATAACTCACTCATTGATGCATTCACTCATTGCACAAGGATTAAATAACTGAATGAGCTTTACTTCTTAGCTTTCAGGACCCCACAGACCAGAGGAAGGATAAACATGAGAATAGGTAATGACCAGAATATAAGTAGACTAGCAGAGGTATTAACTAAGCCTGTTGGAAGCACAGAGGAAGAAATGGGTAACTCAGCCTGGAGACCTCCGAGAGGATTTTCATGGAAGGTGACGAATGAGTAGGTTACATGAGACCCCTGTGGGAGACTGCCAGCCCACCACACTTTCCTCCAACTCAGCATTCTTTCTAACCTGCAATTTCAGTGCTCAATAATCATAAGGTTAAAGATCTCTATGTATAATATTCCCATGTTCCTGTGCATAATGATGTAGATAACTAGGAATTTTTTAGGATACAAAACTTTTTTCTATATGTATTTTGGTCTATTAATTCTCAAAGCAGGAAAATGTCCATCTTGACCACTTTACTAACAGCATCGAGTCCTAGAATTTGATAATCCAAGGGCTCTCTATGCAGGAGTGGTCATCTTACATTGAAAGAAATTAAAGAGATCTCAATCTTTCCCCAGCATCTAAGACCAACACAGCCAGGCCTTGGCACTATCTACTGAGCAATTCAGGAAACATTTGCCCTATTAGTCTTAATAATTGAATTGCTCCATCACTTTCTCTCTTTCCTGTATAAAATGGAAGATTTCAGTATTAATGCTCTAGACTTAAAATGTTATTATACTATTATTTCTTCTTTTCCCTTAAAAATTTATAATTCAGCTTTCTGTGGTCCAGACTTCCAGACTCAGATATTCTCTCTTGAAGCTATAGTTTTCAATTCCCCTCCACACACCTCTCTGTGAAACACCATCACCAGAGGGCATGTGTTAAAGCTGCCTCAGGAAACTCACACTAAAAAGACTCCAGTGTAAGTCCCAGTTAGAAAGAATACCAGAGTAAAGTAAGCTTTCAATGTTTAACGTGGTTCTCAGAAAAGTGCTATGGTGTTAATCATTACCATCAGAAATTTGTTAATAGCCAAGATACCAAAAAAAGAAAATCTTTTAGCTCAATATCCTGTCATCCTAACCTTGTGCAAGGGCCTCAGAAACCTCCATGCAGAGGTGCTGCCACCCACCTACCCATCTCTCAAGGGTGGCATGCAGGCCTGCAATGGGTTAGCCCCAGCATTTTCTCTTGAGCACAGGCACTGGTCCCATGAATACAAAGGCAGAGCTATAACAACACTCACCTTTAAGTCTGGCGTTCTTATCCACCCAGTCACCAATGATGGCTCCCAGGACCAGAACAGACCCCGCCACCACCAGCCCGTAGACTGCAGTCAAGAGGAGGCTGTTCCCATAGAGCTCTACCAGGAACACAGAGACGGCAAAGTGCCACATCCGATCTCCCTAGAATAAGAGAAGAGAAAATGTTTTGCTGAAATAGTTTTAGTTTCCAGTCAATTGTACTCAGGAAGTTGCTTCCTTATCAAAAGAGTACTTTCTGGCTACATCATAAGATTTTCAAGGTCAATTCCTCTGGGGATTGAATACTGGTCAGGCGTCAAAACTGTTCATCCTGGCACAATAGAAAATATTCTTGCCCAAGGGCTAAATAAATCTGAAAAAGCAAGATATTAATGAAATATGCATAGTCCTTTTCATTCTAGAAAACAAGCAGTTTCCAGACCCAAGAAAGTGTTTTAAGACAAAACTATTCTCTTGTATGTGAGGTTACTATCTGAGCATGGAATTTATCTATCCCAAAGCACTTTGCTACTGAATCAGAATGAAACTACAGTATAGTTCATAAACATCAGCATGTCTTGAATGTAAAAAAATAAAAATAAAAAGCCAGTTTCCTAATTTGTAAAATACAAATGGACTATACCATCTCTAAAGCTTCTTTTACCTCTAATATTGTAAAATCTAAACTCTACTGTGCAAACAAATTTCAAAGTCATAAAACAGCTGGGCAATCAGAAAGATAAAATTAATATGGGCTGATTCTGGCACTGCATAAATGAAGGTATCAGAAATAAATACATAAACAAGCAGTCATTTTTATATTTTAATATAGACGGGTTTTGAAAGGGGGTGGGAAACTACTTATGTCTTCATTCCATAGTATAAAGGGAATTTAGGAATTCACTACAGCAAAATGTGGAATGACAAACTTTTAAATGAGTCAGGTAAGTTACTGTGTCAGAAATCTATAACAGACCTTATTATGAGATTTTTGGTTCCTTTCCTGACTAACAGGTTAACATAAAACAGGACAACAACGTTCTATCCCTGGAAATCACTACAGGAAACTAATTTTCCAGGCTAGACTCCTTATGGATTTGACCCTACATGGAAGTACTTACATCCTAGTTCCTTCCAAAGTCTATTAACATCTTTCTGATAAATCTAATGTCAGGAACAAAGTATTATCCTGGTATGTCAAATGAGTTTGAATATTTATAAAGCCAAGCCTACAACCTTATGCATTTAAAACTTAAATTGATGCACATGCACACTAGTAATGGTTTATAATAAATTTCATGTGTACCAGTATTTTTCAAGGGGGGCAGGGTGGGCTGTGATTTTACCTTCCAGGATCACCTGGCAGTGTATGGAGCTGTTTTGGGTTGTCAAACTGAGGGGAGGGGGTACTACTGGCATCTATAATGCACAGGACAATGCCCCCAACAAAGAATTACTCAGCTGGAGATGTCAATAGTGTCAGGTAAAGAAACCCTGGAGTAGATTATGAACATAATTTAGAGCCACAATTCAAAATTAACATAAGACTAGGGCCATACAGGGTCGGGTGGGTATAGTCAGGTAAACATGAAAACAAACGAACACTGGAAGCACCATGTTTGAAAAACTGAGTCTCACTTTGATGGTCTGGAATGTGAGCTCTAGAACCTCCTGCACTGTCAACCCTTAGCACAGTGCATGGCCTGGAGTAGATGTGGAACAAGTAGCTGTGGAATCAACTGAAGAGTGGATACGCAGTGGATCCCAGTTGTGAATGAGTAAATATAGAATAGGTGGCAAAAACATAGACTGATCCATCAACTATACTGTTCTAATACATTGGATTTGTTTTGAAAATGTTGAAGAAGTTTGAGAATTAATCTGTACCATCATTAATATGTCTGAGAGAGCTATTTTTTAAAGTTTGCTTTGATAATAAAATTTTTTTTCCACCTCAGCAGGAATTGTTTGACTTTCAAATACAATTGTACTAAGTAAGTAAAAATGTATGATATACCCCAATTTGTTTGAAAACAACTTAAAAAACAAGTTTATATATTAAGATAAAGATGTCAATAAGAATAGCAAATTAAACTGTTTTCTTAATCTTTCTTATGAGGAGCGAGTTCAGATTTGATTAGAATAAAACGGGAAGAGAAGGGAGGAGGCACAGTCATACCTTGGTATTTGTTGGCTTCAAAACTCTCATCAAACCCTGTACTTGTCCATTTTGATGAGAAAAAAATGGTTCAAGCTCAGCACTTGCTCAGGACTTTTCGCACTTTCTAGAACTTATGTGAGTCTGGTGCCACCCCACAAGAGAAAATGCTTCATTGTTTGGTACTCACCAGTTTTGACACTCATTACGAGTTCTGGAACAAATTCACAATGAGTACCAAGGTACCACTGTACTTGATTCTAATCTCCATTCCTCTGAATAGCTCCCAAGGAAAAAACTAAAACACATAAATTCCCGACCCCAAATGATAGGTTCTGCTATGAGTGAATTTCCTCTTTCTTAACCTAAAAAGTATGAAATATTCACTACTATTACTTCTTTCTTTTTTTGTTTTTTTTACTCCTATCTTTTTCCCACAGGAATTAGTTTTACATTCCTCTGGCAGGGGTGTCCAACCTTTTGGCGTTTGTGAGCCACACTGGGAGAAAAGTTGACTTAGGCCACACATTAAATACATTGTGACATGTAATCACAAAAAACGATCTCAAAATGTTTTAAGTAAATTTACGAGTTTGTGTTGGGGCACATTCACAGCCACCTTGGGCTGCATGTGGCCCGCAGGCCGCAGGTTGGACACCCCTGCTCTAGAGCATCAAAACAAGTGCTATTAAATGAAAATTTTCTCCCTTGCGTATCCCTGTATGACATGCCAATTCCTTGATGGAGGGGAATAAAATTGCTCTAGTTACTCCAATTTCCAAAAGACTTTGGTTTTAAGAAGCAACAGATTGTATGCTCACAAAGCCCAAAATCAGGTAAACACTAAATAAATACTGACCAAGTGCAATTGCAAGCCCACCCATTCCTTCTTTATGTCCATGTCCTGCCCTCCCATAAGTCTCGCCATACTTTGATGATTTGCTTGCATGTCCATCTACACCAGGGGACTAAGAACTGAAGACCAACTGAGTGAATGAATAATTACAGTCATCAATCTACTTAATAGTTATTGAGAGGCTAATATGAAGGCATTAGAAATTCAACAATACACAAAAATCAAAGTCCATGCTTTCATGCAGCTTGCATCTCAGTGAGCAAAACCCAAAAATAAATCTAGAATAGGTCAAGCAGTATAAAATGTTATGAGAATGGGGTTGGAAGGTGGCATTTTGCATGAAACAGTGACAGAGACTGCAATGAGCAAGGACCTGAAGGGAGGGCTGGTGTTGTGCAGACATCTGGTATATAAACAGACAGTTCATAGGATAATGACATGAGATATAAGCAGCTAGTTACCCTTTTCACTGCCCTACACTATTAGTAATCTTTTTGTTATTAGATATATTTTAAGGCTCTTACTAAACTATATTATAAGTTCTTTGACAGAATCAGACTATTACAGTACTTTGTATTCTGATGGTATAGAGTAAAAGGTATCAATCCATTGGCAGATAGAAATCAAGTCAGAAATAAAAAGCATTCAACCTACTCAAATCTAACTTCATATAACTTCCTACTCTAATACCTCTATATTCACCATATAGGAAAACCATGGTTTGGCAGAGTTGCTGGGGAATAGATAGATAGATGTATAAACATAAACAAACACATTTTCTTCTAATAAAATCAGACAGAATGTCAAACAGGATGCAAAACTCAAGAGGTAGAATTATTTAGAGTTAGAAAGCACTCCCTTTTGCACTCCTTTGAACTGAAAAGAAGTAAAAGTCCTCTGAACCTTATATGATTGTTGGTTTGTTTTTAAATACAACTTTCCCACAAGAACTCCCTTTGCTCAACTTACTTGTAAGATTGTGGTAAGGTAAGCCTATGTCACTTTGCTGTGGGACTTTTAATTAACATGACAAACAAAATCCTCCTGGAACAACCACAGTTCCATTGTTTTAGCAAACCTGATCTCTCAACCTATTAACAAAAGGTCACATAAACCCTTAACTTATCAGTATTTGGAAGTGAGACATCATCCCCTTAATATTTAGGTATAGACCACAGGATAAGAATTTCAGACTCTGTCTTCATCACTTGTTATTGGTTTCTTTCAATACTTAATACTTACTGAATTAAAATGGAAAAACTACTGATTTAGATTAATTGAGGGTAGTTTCACTAGATTTCTACTTAGAATCATCAGATATGGTCATGAAAGAAATTCACACCAATTCCACTTTGCCTACATATGGTTGCAGTCATCTTTGTCTAAGCCTCAGGGGAGATGGGAAGGAGCCCCGTCCCCCTAAAAAGGCCATCTTTGAATTGCTGTTTCTTAAGGAGCTGATAACCTAGCTTAATAATTTCCCAAGGGCATGGGTAGAGATTTCCTCATACAATAGTTCACACTCATGTCTTAAGGATGATCCAATATAAGTTTCCAATTTAAAAAGAAAGCAACATTCACAAAATTTACTCTCAAAATTCTTTCTCCTTACTTATGGTTATTTTTATTTAAATATCATATATGAGGCAAGAATAGAATATACTCAAATTTACTGCTTTTAAACAATACGAATAATTGTTTAATTGTGAAGAGTCTAATCACCATTAATTAAATACACACCCAATATCTTTTGGGGATTCTTCTTTATTTTTTATTTTTATTTTTTACAGGGGGCAGGGGGAGCTGATGAAAGAAACCAGGCCCACAGAAACATTGGGACTCTTCCAAGACCACATAGGAAGTCAGAAGAAAAATTATGAATCAGTTGGTAAGTCTCATTGGATGATGGTTTCAAGATAGCCTGAGAAGCCCCACACATACCCACCTATAATGTAACATTTCTAAAGATCAGAATTTTCATCACACAGATATTTGTTTGGGGATCAATTTTATTTAAATTAATCTTAGAAATCTATTTTTGGTTTAAGTCAGTCACTCTACTATTCTGTATTTTCATAGTGCAGTATGCTGAAACTTACAAATTTAACAAAAGAAGAAAATAGAAATATCTTAGAATGTGAAAGAATAGAAGGTATATGAGATGCCCATCCACTCTTAGCCGATATTACCATCTACTAAGCCTAGTAATGCAAAATGAAATGTACAAACAATGCAAATATTACTGTCCTAGTTAACGCCATCTTTGGATATTTGTCAATCTATATAAAGTGTTACAACCTGATAATTAAATAACACACCTATGGGGCAATACTCTTATTGAAAAAAAAACTTTTTCATTAAAGCAGGGGTTTGGATAATTAACTTCTTTAGCTGCATGACAAAACTGGAAGATGGCTAAAGCAACTGGCCCAAGTAAAAGGAAACAAGAAATTGTGAAAGAATGTTGAAAGAATTACGGTATACACCCACTTACCCAAGTAGATAAAGAATGTCCAACGTAGAGAAGGAATTTCGCCGAGGTCAGGTAGTTTGTTAAGGATCCTGAAAAAACACGGGCAGAAGATCAAAAGCATAGTTTTGTCACTGGAGTTAGAGGAGGTTGGAAAGTGTATACATTTAATAGGACTGTTAAACATGATTACTAAAAACTATTTTGTGGGGCAAACCAGGTACATTTTATGCAGTCAACATTCACTTCAATTTAGCATGACCAATAACTGCCCAACTGCAAATACAGCGAAGAAAACTGGATGTCAACATTCTTTAAATCCATTTTTTTTTAAAAACAAGGCAATCCAAACTGCTCAGTCGCTCCGTCCTTGCCTGCGTGCAAGCCATCCTTCCCACACCTTGAAATTCATTTCTTCCTCAACCTTCACCAACATATGAGTCAAACAAACTACATAGCACTCACAGCTCAGTTCCATTCCTCCAAAACCTGCCTGAAGACGCTGGACTCCAGCGCCCAGCCCAGCCTGTGTTGCCACCACCTGCGTTCGGTCAACTCACCGCAGCATCCTCCCTGGCGGTTTTGCTCTCTCGCCTTGTTCATGACACCTGGTGCTCCCCGCTGGCTCTTCCGCTGCTACTGCTGCTCTGGATGAGGTGCTTGTTAGCAGGAGTGCAAGGAACTGAAAAGAGCACCACTAAAAACACAACAGACTTGTGCAAAAAGACCCCAACGACAACTGCGGCAAATTAACAAAAGAAAAACGGCCCGGGGATATCCTTTTGGTCTTCTTTCCAAACTTAGCTAACACTGTAGCTGAAGTTGGAAAGGCAAAGCCTTATGGTAGCAGGTGAGAGACTCTCAACAGGCCCTGGGAGACCAGTCGGTTGCCTGTGTGCGCCACCGCCGGCGCCGCCGAGAGCCCGGCCCAGCACTTATACTGGCCCGGGGCGGAGCTCCCTCCCACAGCGGGCCGGGTGCCCCTCCCCTTCAGGGCCTCCCGGGCGTCCCTGCGGCGCGAGGCCCGGCGCCGGCCGACCCCAGTGCGGTGCCGCCTCCCCGCCCTTCTCCGGAGTTATTGCCCGCCGGCGATTCCAGCGCCCCACTGGCTACAGTCGGGCCCCTGGGTCTGTCCCTGTCCAGATAAAGCCATTCAGCGCGGCCTCCCGAAAGGGCAGGTGAATGATTCTAAAGAACACGAGACTTAAACCTTCCAGGGGCTTTTTCACCCTCCATCCCCCACCACCCCGGCCTTGTCCCAAACGCCTGGGGCATACCAGCCCCTATTGCCAAGTCCTATCAGCTTACCTTTCTCAAACTCGCCAAAACTCCAGGAGTAGATCCTACACATTGAAACTAGAAGCAGATTCCAGCCAGTGAGCACAGGCCGGGTGGACACCCAGTAGTGAAGGGAGACACGCTTGCATATATGCTCAGTATCAGAACTCTCAATCAGGAGCCCACAGGTCGACGGGCGGGGTGCAGCTGGATTCAGTTGGGATGTGGTCTGGAGGACAGAGATAGGGGTTTTACAGTTTAGCTACTGCTCTTAACTGCTTTTTCTTTTCCTTTTCAAACCCTCTTTCCCCACCTTTCTACATCACTTTCAAGTCCTTTCTCTTCACTCCTAGAGGACTTTGGTTTGTCTTCTCAAGTTGGGAGAATGGGGTCATGGTATCCACATGTCCTTGAGAAGAAAACCAAGACAGGCTCCTTTGAGGGACCTGCAGAAGGAGGAAACTGATGTATTAAACCCCTCCACGTGTGGGGGTCTCTTACTGGGAATGAATTTCGATCCTCAAGCAGAGCACAAAGGATAGTGATGTTTGCACATTTGCCACATATGCGTCACTCAGCAACAAGGGCCTCCAAGTACTGTGCATTAATTTTTCTGCTCCTGAGAGGAGTGTTGTGCTGTTGCCAACTTCTAGGCACCTTAAAGAAGGCTCAGTTGGTTGTAAAAAAAAGAAAATTACTTCTGAACAACACTGCCCAAGAAGTGTTTGTGGGAATAGTAGCTAAGTGAATGTATTCCTCAAAATGTGAAGATTGTTTTCCACTGTCACCAAGGTGTTCCCAGAAGCCAAAACTAAAAGAATGGTGAAAAGAACAGATAGGAGACCACACTGAAGCATGTAGAAAAGATACTTTGGAAAGAAAACAAGCAAAATCCATAACATCAAAAGCAGTGAGGTATCTGAGCTTTGGAAGGGGAATTCTAAATCTTTATTAATGGGAACAGTCAAGATATATTAGTAGGGGCTCATGAAATAAGAAAGGAATTGAAAATGAAAATGTAATTAAAATCCTCAAAATACATGCAAAATGACAGTAATCTTTTGGCCTTGACATTCTTGATGACGAAGCACTGCTTAAATCACAAGACCCTCCTGGCTATTCCTTCTTCTAGAGATCATTTGACGGGTTGAAAATTAAGATTCCTTTCAAAACTCATGTATTTTTTTCCAGAAGTCAGAAAACACAACTTTTCTGTTAATGTAATCAAAACTAAGAAAGCCATCAAGTTTCAAATCCATTTACCAAAAAAACATACCCTAAAAACAATTTTCCAGTTCATTTTCAAAGTTATTAAGTTTGTGACTAGATTAACTAACTTTTAAAATTCCAGCCAGAATAAAATATATATTCTAATTTAAAATTGATAAGTACATGTGCTTGGCAAATAAAAAGGGTTTTCTTATTTTATTTTTAAGTTGCTTTTTCACTTACTGGTCAGGCACCTCAAGTTTCCTCTGCTTGAGCTGAGGTGCTCACCAGGACAAATGCAGAGTAAAGAATGGTCACCACTACACTGTTCTAAATAAAAGTTATGGGGCCATCATCAACTATTACAGGAAGGGCTCTGATCCAGGACAGAGTTTCTGTTGCGTGTGAAACATTCTGACTTGACTTAGGTACTATAAAGCCATTGTCATTCAAAAGCCTTTCTCAATGTTACGGCACATTTCAAGAATGATTTGACATTTCTATTAGCTATGACACCTAATTTATATTACAGACACTAACTGAAAAATAAGTATTTCTTTCCACTTTCCATTTTGTTTGAAAATTTCAAATAGATTTGACCGTGCAATGTCTCATAAATGCTGACTCTGATTTTTGTTCTCTCTCTCCCCCCCACACATACATGCACACACACACACACACACACACACACACACATACACGCACACACACAGGTACCCTCAGTAGTCTACAGTTTCTAGTTGGGAAATTAAATGCAGAGTGTAGAAAATTTTTACAGAAATATATTCCCATGGCAAACCCATAGAGACAGAAAGCATAGTAGTAGTTGTCAGCGACTGGAGTAGGGAATGGGTAATAACTGCCTGATGGTACAGGGTTTCTTTGGGGTAATGAATATGTTCCAGAACTAGATAGTGTCAATAGTTGCACAACATTATAAATGTATTCAAAGTCACTGAAATGCATACTTTGAAGTAGTTCAGATGGTGAATTTAATGGTAAAGTTTACCTCAATTTTAAAATATATTCCTCTACGGAAAGTTTGCCATTTTTGGTAATAGTGTTCATTGGGATAAATGTAAGCCAAATATGGTCTTAGGAGATTTTAATCAAAAGAAAGAATCTGGAAATAGGAAAAGAGATATCTTGCCCATCAGACTCAATGAAACTAAAAAACCATGAAACTGAAACTGAATTAACTGTTTGGTTTTCTCCATGTATAGTCAGAAAATACATACAAATTCCATTTAATAAATGTTTTGGTATCTCAACTTTTGCCATAGGTAGTTTCTTTTCCTGTCTCATCTAACTCTCTCGTGTTACAAAACAAAGTCCATTTTCTTATATTCTGTCTTCAGTAACACAGAACACAGATGCTTAGCATTGCCCCAACATTCCCTTCACATTCTCAAGAGCTTATTTGGCCTTACCCAGTCTACGTAAACAGGAATAGATTTCTTAGGCATTCAGTTATTTTAATTGGTTGTCCTAGAACCCTTCTTAATTGTACATTTGCTTGCAAGCCCCTCATAGAAGACAGCACAGAGGGCCTCACTTACCTGAACAAAGGGGTCCTGAGTTATATGCTCTTATATCCCCCGTCTTCTGTCTCAGCCACTGTGCACTACATACCTGTTTTTAAACAGAACCTTGAAGCTGATTCCCACTAAGCTGGCCATACACTTAGGCATGCAATTTACATTTTGGGCTCTGAGCAAACACCTCAGAGCATTTTAATGTTCTCTGTGGGACACAGTCCACGTGTCCAGTGCAAGAGTCCCTGGTTCCCAGCTCCTTTCCAACCCTAGCCTCTTCGTGGTGTGATCATTGTGCCTGCTCTCCATTTATTTTTTATGTGAGTAAAGAATACTTCCATACTGCTGATTTGTTCCCTTCAAGTCTCATAAAATGCCTAATTGTAATAGCATGTCAGTTATGAGTGCAGCATAGTAAAAGACAATGGTATCTCACAGCCACAAAATTCTGATTAAATGATACGCCTCATCTTCAGTTCTTGAAATTTTGGTCACACAGACCAGCAGTGTAATTAGGAAGACCCTAAAACAATAAAGAAGACCCTTGTCACGTGTCTTGGACACAGTCCTCCTCTCTGATGCAATTATAAAATATTGACTAGAGTGATTATTTTAACATCTAAGAATAGTTAAAAATACAATATGAAGGTCCCTCCCTAAGATGTGTCAGAAAAGGTTTACTGCATTGTTATCTGCACTGAGCCACACATGCAGCAAAGGGCCACCTATTTGGAGTACTAGTCAAATGGCAGATACTAAGCAAGGTGCTTATCAGATATTATCTCACTTTACCTTTACAACCCCTATGATATAATGCTGTTATTATTCCTGTTGCACACATAAAGAAATTGAGACTGGAAGAGGTTAAATAAGTCACCCAAAGTTACTCAGCTGGAGAGGGGAAGCTAGGATTCAAGCCTAGATTTGTTTGACTGCAAAGCCCTTGCTCTTTCAGATTTGATATTCTGCTTCTCACCACCCAATAAGCTTGGGACAACACATCTACTGCAAATAAGCATAAATACGGCATTTTCTTCCTCTTGGCTCCCTTATAGATGACTCAGGCACTAGCCAGGGACTTAGAACTAAGTGTTGACGGTGGAGGCCAATATAAGATTGAGAGAGGGGGTGGAATGGTGGTGCTCCCACCCCTTCAGTGTGGTGGGAACCACCTAATTCCAGGAGCAGCTGGAGAACTTCATGTTGCACCCAAATGCCCAAGTCCAGCTGATAGCATTGCACCGCTTTCAGAGCACTGTGTAGTTGTAAGATGGGTAAAACAACATTAAGTTAGTGAAAGCTCAAGTTGAAATTTTTAGGTATGAAAGGGGGAGACTAGGTCAAAATAAAACATTTGAGGCTTTGGAAGGGTATTTTTAGATTGCTTACAGCTGAAGATTTAAATTGGTGTTACAAGCTTGGGCTTTATCAAAGTTTTCCTATCTCAGAAATAGTCTAAAGGGATTTCTTCTTAGCACTGTAAAGGGAAATCAAATAATTTTAAAAGGAGGCACAATCAGTATAGATTTTACATGATTAAGGAGGTTATTTTTAAGCTATTTATAAAGGAACATTAATACAAAATTATTATTATGTATAGAAGATTGGGATTTTTCTATGGTGCCAGAAGAAATGTATTTTTGAGAATAATTTTTCATATTAAAAATGTTTTACCTAGAAGAGTAACAATATTTGCATAGTTCTCCTTGGTTCACTGTGTGCTTTGATTTTTTTTTACTGCTCTAATAACTATAATCACACATCAAAAACTTTTGATCAAACATTGCACATCAGATCACTCCCAGAGGTCCACTGCCTTTTGTGTGTGCGTGCTCGCGAGCTCTCTCTCTCTCTCTCTCTCTCTCACTCACACACACACACACACACACACATGCAGTGTGGGG